CAGGCAACGCGGGCCGCGACGGAGGCGGCGGCGGGGATCTAGAGCGGAGGAGTTCTGTGGCGGAGCTCCAGCCAGCCAGAATCCCTGGGTGGGAACTCGGCTGGCGTTCTGCCCGCCTGGAGTCGGACCCCGCCGTTACTGCTGCCCTGAGCCACCGGAGGTCCCGGTCCTTGGGCACCGTCCTCAGCTGCCTCCGGTCCCTGCGTTGAGGCAGCGCCTGAACCCGCAGCTGCCGGTCCCTGCGCTTAGGTGGCATCTCTCTCGGCTGCCACAGGTCCCCGTGCCCGCTGCTGGTGAGCAGCCTCCCGAGTTTCCTGAGCTTTCTGAGTTTCCTGTGGCTCCGGTCCCCGAGTTTGCAGACGAGCCTGAGCTTCCTAGTGCTCCCTGTGGCTCCGCCCCCCGGGTTTGCGGACGAGCCTCAGTTTCCCTGTGCTCCGCCCGAGACTGTGCCTCCCGAGTTTCCTGAGCTTTCCGAGTTTGCTGTGGCTCCACCCCTCGAGTTTGCGGACGAGCCTCAGTTTCCTTGTGCACCGCCCGAGACTCTGCCTCCCGAGTTTCCTGTGCCCGCTGCTGTGGAGCAGCCTCCCGAGCGTCCCAGTGCTCCGTCCGAGCGTCCAGCCGGCCAGCCCCTCTGCGGGCCTTCCAGAGCCTCCAGTCAGCCCCATGGGCCCGAGTGCCTGCTGCGGTGGCGTCGCACGCCGGATCCGCCTTCGGGACTCCGGGACTCTGTTGTGATCTGTGTTTTCTGTGTATTTATTTTGAGGTTTTTCTTGTTTATTAGCCTGTTCCCCTGTGAGTCTCTGTCTTCGCTGTTGATTGTTCCCAGAAGTGTCTCGTTTTTTTGATTACCCTCCCAGTGTATTTAGTCCCACCTGTTGTCTTTGTCTCTTGTCGGATCCTCGTCGTGTCTAACCAGTCCGTTCTGCCAGCTTCTTGTGTCCCTGTGTTTATCATAATCTTCATCTTCATCCTGGCCTGCCTGCCTCTTCCCTCACCTCACCAAACCCACCAATTATGACAATTATCAGTTTATTTCTGTTAATATTTCTCATCCAAGAAAGGTTTTAGAAGAAAAGTTTTCAAACAGAGTGTATTAATTAAATGTTACAAACTTGGATTTCTGTAAATTGAATAATAAACAGTGATAAGGGTAAGTACATGTGACTTGAACATTACGTCTCCATCTCTTTTCTGTCCTGATGGAATCTCTCCTCCTGCTCATCACTCATTGATCCAGATTGTCAGGAAACCGATCCAGATGTGTGAACAAGTCATGCATTTTGATGCTCATGTTGCTCCATAGCAAACGTTAACTGGAAATGGGCACCAGCACCTCACTAAGGGACAAGGGTGTATAGAAAATTAATGGATGGATGTTGCTCCATAGTTCAGAAAGTTGACCTGACCTGAGTAAAACCAAAGTGATTTTTGGATTCAGTACTTCAAATTGACCACAACAGAAATCTGTTTCTGTTTTGGTTCTGTTTAATAGGATGCTTAGCAGTGTTTTGTTTTTTTTTGTGTTAATTAAAAATTAAACGTTTGGATAAAATATTACACAAAATGTAAGATTCCTGCTGTTACAGAACAAATACATAAAATTAGACAAGTACAAGACTTCTCATAAAAACACTAAATGCAAAATTTATAAGCATTCAAAACATTCATGTTTGCCAAGTTGAGGTAAAATTTTGAGGCTACAGATTATAATAAATTAACATTTGTTTGGGGGAACTGATCACCAACCAAATGTGAAAATAGAGCCATTTCAGTAGCTCCTGAAATGGCTCTGCTATTTTCACAAGACAGTCCCACAGCTCTGCTCAGCTGAATACATAATACTAGTGTCATATTTTTCACTCTCTGCAACCTCCGTCATGGTTGTTAATTTCACTCTCAGGTTCATATAGTTTGTCTGAGTCTTTGTCAGACAAAACTTGTGGACAAACCTTGACTCAGAGAGCATGGGGTCTTGCTGTGACATGGTAGCCTCTTCCAGCACAAACTGGTTTACTGAGAGGACAGCTTTCTAATTGCACCTGGTGGAACTTACTTTTATTTAGGTGTATCAGAGTAAAGGGTGCTGAGTACAAACCTACTCTATAATTTTATTTCTGTCCATTTGAAAAATATGTTCTATGCCATGTTGGTCTATTACATACAATTATAGAAAAACACATTGATGTTTTGTGATCACTGGCATCAAAATTAACTGTTAAAAGTTAACTGATGTAAGCTATTGTGGTTGCTACAATATACAGATAGCTAACAAAGACCACATACTTCTTTTAGGTATTTATTCTCTTTTACCTTTGTCTCTCCAGGTCAAGGACCAAGAGTTCCCATACAGAAAAAATCTTGCTCGTGTTCTGATAGAGGTGGAAGATACAAATGATCATGCACCCTTTTTTACCAGTGCACTCTACGAAGGCTTAGTTTATGAATCAGCTGCTGTGGGATCAGCTATAGTGCAGGTTACCGCTCTGGACAAAGACAAAGGCAAGAATGCTGAATTACACTACTCCATTGAAGCAGGTAAGTTACTGTAGTTCCTGAAAACCAAATACATGTAAATTTTCAAAACATTGCAAATATACTATTTGGATGTTTTTTCTTCACAGGAAACACTGGCAATGCATTCAACATTGAGCCAGTTCTTGGTATACTTCGTGTTGCACGCCACTTGGACTTATCAAGCATCGGACACTATGTTCTGAGTGTCAGAGTCACTGACAACGGCACCCCTGCCCTGTCTGCTACCACGATAGTGCGGATTACCGTCACTCTCTCAGACAATTCTGGTCCAAAGTTTCTTCAACCTGAATATCAGACTGAGATCAGAGAAAATGCCATTACTGGGACTTCTGTCACCACAATCAGTGCTGTCAGCCAGTCAACCCTCACTTTTGATATCAAGCAAGGAAACATAGAACAAGTTTTTCAGATTAATCAATATAGTGGAGTCATTACAACTCAAAAACCTCTGGACTATGAAAATATAGCTTCTTATAGCCTTGTAGTGCAAGCTACCAACATGGCTGGGATGGCCTCCAATGCTAGCTTGTTAATTCAGATATTAGATGAGAATGACAATCCACCTGTGTTCCAACAGCATCACTACCGTGGCAGCATTTGTGAGCTAGCACCAGTCAACAGTGTGGTCTTGAATTCAGAAAACCTCCCTCTAGTGATCAAAGCTTCTGATGCTGACTCCAACCAAAATGCTCTGTTGGTCTATCAGATTGTTGAGGAGACTGCAAAGACGTTCTTCACAGTGGACTCAGTAACTGGCTCCATTAGAACCATTGCTAATCTTGATCATGAGACATTTTCAGCTTTCCACTTCCATGTTAATGTGAGGGACAATGGTAAGCCACAACTTATAGCAGATAGTCCAACTGAGGTGACTATACAAGTGATGGACTCAAATGATTCACCTCCAGTCTTCAAACAGAATACTTATGAAACTGTTCTTCTACTTCCCACCTACACTGGTGTCGAGGTCCTGCAGGTATCAGCCACAGACCCCGATACTGATATTCCTACAGATCTTACATATTCTTTGGCTGAAGGAGTGTTGGAGAATTTTTCCATCAAATCCGCCAGTGGGATTATTGTCGTCAAAAACGGCAACTTCTCCAAAGAGCTTTTTCGCCTAAGTGTCAGAGTTTCAGATGGAAAATTTTCCACCACTGCTTTGGTGACAATAATTGTCAAAGAGGCTCTGGACTCGGGTCTAAGTTTTTCCCAGAAGGTTTACGTCTCATCTATTAAAGAGAATGTGTCAAATATATCCATAGTGGCTGTGGTCAGTGCTGTAGGAAACCGCCTCAACGAGCCATTGCTGCACACTCTCCTGAATGCTGCCACAAGGTTTACCATTCGTCCAACATCTGGTGTTATCCAGACCACAGGAATACCCTTTGATCGAGAAGAACAGGACTTCTATGAACTGATTGTGGAAGCAAGACGGGAGCATGATCATCAGCATGTGGCCAGAGTTCTCGTTAAAGTTCATATAGAAGACATAAATGATAACCCCCCAGTGTTTGTTGGACTTCCATATTATGCAGCTGTTCAAGTAGAAGCTGAGTCAGGTTTATCCATTTTCAGAGTCTCCGCAGTGGATGGTGACAAAGGTATTAATGGAGAGGTGACATACTTTCTCAAGGATGATCATGGCCACTTTATGATTGACCAACAGACAGGCACCATTAGCCTGAAAAGGACTTTTGAGTCAGATTTGTCCAATGTGGAGTACCAAATAGAGATACATGCCAAAGATTGTGGTGACCCTCCCCTGTCATCTACCATTACTTTTCCCATCACTGTGGTTAACAAAGCTATGCCTGTCTTTGACAAATCCTTCTACTCTGTTTCTGTGAATGAAGATGTGGATGTTCACACACCGATTATCGGCATCAATGCAACCAGTCCTGATGGACAAAACATAATCTATACTATTGTTGATGGAGATGCGTCTTTTCAGTTTGGTATTGGATTTGATACCGGAGTTATAAGTGTAATTAATTCATTGGACTATGAAGAAACACCATATTATCGCCTGACCATCAGAGCTACAAACTACCTGACTGGCTCCCATGCAGAAGTTGATGTAGATGTTCTGGTGCAAGATATAAATGATAACCCACCTGTCTTTAAAGAGATGTCCTACAAGATCGTTCTGTCTGAGACTGTCATGATCGGAACTCCAGCCCTTCAAGTTATTGCCACAGACATGGACTCTGAGAAGAACAATGTTGTTGGCTATCAGATATTCTCAAAAGAGCACAACAGCACAGATTATTTTCACATTGATAGTAGCAGTGGGTTAATTCTTACAGCAAGAATCCTAGACCATGAACTAGTCCCAGAGTATGACTTCATTGTCAGGGCCACTGATAATGGTTTTCCATCACTAAGCACTGAAGTGTCAGTGACTGTTCTTCTAAAAGACATGAATGACAATCCTCCAGTTTTCAACCAGCTTCTCTACGAGGCATATGTGAGTGAGTTAGCACCAAAGGGACACTTTATTACCTGTGTTCAGGCCTCAGATGCTGATAGTTCAGATTTTGACAAGTTGGTGTATAGTATTTTGTCAGGAAATGAACGAATGGATTTTGTGATGGAAAGAAAAACGGGAATTATCATGTTGTCCAGCCACCTTAAGCAAAGAATGGAGCCTACTTACAACCTCAACGTTTCAGTGTCTGACGGAGTTTTCACCAGCACAGCTCAGGTTCACGTTAAAGTGTTTGGGGCCAACCTGCATGATCCAGTGTTTGAACAGAAGATGTTTGAGGCAGAGCTAAGAGAAAATTCTCCTGTGGGAACCAGTGTAATTCAGGTAGGTGCTTTTGAGATTCATTAAGCTTGTAATCTTTATACATGTTTGACTGTATATTTTATTTTTCTCGTTTATGTTTTCATAATATGTATGCCTTTCAAATAGCCTCTGTTTTCTAAAGTCATTCTTTAAATTCTAGGTGAGGGCAACGGATGCAGACCCTGGAGTTTATGGCCACATAACTTACTCTTTTGTTAACGATGTGGGTAATGACCTGTTTAGCATTGATGCTAATGGTCAGATAAGCACAATAGAAAAACTTGACCGTGAGGACCCTTCCAACATGGACATTGTTCTTACAGTGGCAGCTCAGGATTCAGGAGGTCGTGTTTCCTATTGCACAATCCATCTTACTATCTTAGATGAAAATGATAATGCACCCCGCTTTAGTGCTACAGAGTACAGAGCTACGCTCAGATTTGATGTAGCCAAGGGCTTCTTCATCACACAGATTCAGGCTCTTGATCCTGACTATGGCACTAATGCCAAAGTAACATTTTCACTGTACAGTGAGGCACGGATCCCTGTAGCAGACGTTTTGGACATAGACCCAGACAGTGGTTGGATGGTTACCAAAGGCAGCTTCAGCCACTTGAGAAACTCAGTATTATCATTTTTTGTGAAGGCTGTAGATGGAGGAAATCCAGTTCGGCACTCTTTGGTCCCTGTCTACATTCATGTTCTGTCTCCGGAGGCGTTCTTTCCTGACTTCATGCAGCACCATTACTCATTTAGCATACTGGAGAACACACCAGTAGGTTCAGTCATTGGAAGGGTTCACCTCAAGATTCCTCATGGATATAACCCACATTCAGTTAGCTTTACCATTGTTAATGGAGAAAGTAGTGAAAATAATCTAGATGGAGTATTTTTAATAGAGAAAAATACAGGAGTGATTAAACTTGATAAGCCCTTGGATCATGAGGTGATGAAAGGATTTAGTTTTAAAATAACTGCCACTGGACACCAGAGTAAGTTGGATGCTGTGACGTCTGTTGATGTTGAGGTCAAAGTTTTAGATCTAAATGACAATAAACCAGCCTTTGAGACCAACTCTTATGTGACGACTGTTATGGAAGGAATGACAATTGGAACCAGAGTCATTCAAGTCAAAGCTCATGACCCAGACTCAGGAGCCAATGGCCAAGTAACATACAGGCTTGGGACATTAATCCAGGCAGAGGAAAACTCCGATGCATTGGTGCGGACGTTTAGCATCGACAGTAATACTGGCTGGATTGTCTTATGCAAAGAGCTCGACCACGAGTCCAATCCGTCCTACATATTCACAGTGGTAGCATCAGACCTGGGAGAGACCCTGTCTTTCTCCAGTACCAGCACAGTGACAGTAGCAGTGACAGACATCAATGACAACCCCCCCATTTTCATGGAGAACCATTACTTCAGTTCAGTCCAGGAGAGTGGCCCTCCAGGCGAGGTGGTGGCTGTTCTGAACACGAAGGACAACGACAGCTCTGCTGTTAACCGGCATGTCAGCTATGTCATAACTGGTGAGTAATGAAGCAGGCATAAACAACAAAACACTCCATGATTCTATCATGTTATTCTATCATGCATGTGTACCCACTTTACATTCTAAATTTTGATGTTTCTGATACATATGGAGGCCTTTTGGAGTGTACCTATTTTTTATATAACTGTGTGATCTGCACAGTTTCCTAAGGTCCTACAGCAGCAGTTATGGTCATATTGGTTGTATACCGTATATATATATACATGGTTATATATTATACCTCTGCAGGCAGAG